CAATTAAAACCCGATAGAGGTTTAGTTGTATTAGTTGATATTGGAAATTAAAGAGTGATGATTTATAGAAAATCATTAGATGCTCATGTAGTACGCGAACAAGCAATAGTAGGTGTGGATTATATGCCATTAACAGATAAAAATTAACAATGGTATCATTGATTATATACGAAGTTTTGTACAGCAGTTGTTATAAACTTGCATTTAATTACCTGTGATATTTTTGACTAGTAAATAAAAAGTACCTAATAAGTCTATTCTTTTCTCATATCTTTCTTCGTTGGAATAAGCTTAGAAGTCAATATTTTTGCATCTATTCTTTCTATATTCTTTTCTTTTACTTTGACGTATTAGATAGAATTCTTTTTTGTCTTGAAGTTCAGTCAAGATTTTTTCCATTGATAATAAAGCAACAAAAAAGATTTTTGCCAAAGTTGAAAAGATAGATAGTTATCCTTTGTTTCTTATATGTCTATATCAATTGTTTGCACATGTTTCCTCGGTTATTTCTACAATGAACGTTTTACATTTAACATGCTATATAAACATTGTAAGTTAATATTTAAATAAACGATTTTGTTTTTTTTTTCTTATTGCTTTTTATGATCTAGTCGGTGGAAGTTTTAGGAAGATGAATTTTGAGCTTCTGCTTGTTTTTTCTGTCTTATTACTTTTGTCGATACTTTCATAGTTTTTATTGTATTATCATTCTATTCATTTTTTTAATGTATGGCCATTCCAGTGAAAACTTCGACAATGAAATAATAGTGCAAAAGAAAATCATAACGGATGCATATTCATCATAAAAATAAAGCACAAGAATCTTACTAGATTATCAAAAAGAAATCATTCTATTATGTGATGAAAAAGAATCAGAATTGATATAGAATTAGAAAAGAATGTAAACAGAATCAAATAGTTAATAAAGGATTCAGTGGCAAATTTACTTTTCAATTATATGAAAACAGATGAACCGACGATATTGAGCAGTGTGAGAGAACTGAAAAATAGAAATTCATAAACTGTTAAGAAATAGTGATTGGATACTTAGTACGATACTTGATATTTTTCATACTTTTTTACTTAAAAATCTTAAGTACATTTGAACTAAATACTTGTACTAAGTAAAAATGGACTTAACTAACATACACAGTACAATGGTTAAGTAAAAATTAGTTATACTTGTACTGGTCCAATGGCTGTTAGGAAATTATCGACACGTCTATGAGAATTTCTAAGGGAATCCAGAATTGATAATCAATTCTCTCATAGTTGTCTAATTCATAATTGCTAAAGTTATACACGTTTTGCAATATTTTTTTACATTCACTCATTTCTTCCATATTATGTATATAAGAGTGAAACGTTTTATGGATATAAAGTACAACTGTTTGTAAAAAAATTTGGACAAAATTAAATTTTTTTTTTGTAATGTTTGTCTTATCGTTGCAAGCAATTACCGAACTCATTTTTCTAGGGATAAATCTTCAATAGCTATACTACATGTTGACCATACACAGAAGTGTAATTTCTTTTCTTTTCGATACATATATAAATATATATATTTAATCATCACATCAATTAGTGATTTAAAAAGTCATTATATCTCAATATTATATTATTGAAACAAAAGCATACGATCTGCTCGTGTTAATTATTGTAAAACAAATATTTCACGAAGTACTATCTATTACAATATCAATAAATGGAAACAAACAAATTCACTTAAACATTGAGATAGAAATAGTCGACCACGTATACAGTGTTGTGCATTACCTTTTTTCATGGGGATATAGCTCGAACTCCAAAAGATATAATAGTGAGCTTTACACCAAGTGAAAGTCCATCGAAGACGGAATTACAGAGTATGAGTGGTATTTCATAGGATTGTAATAGGCTATAGGATTACGGAAAGTTTCAAAATTTCAGGAATATTATTGGATACTTTCATAGGTAGTTAACCACGATCTAACAGACAAAGCTGTTGAGATTTTTCTCCCCATTTTTGAGTCTAACACTATCATTTATTTATCAAACTTAAGTTCTGTTTACCAAAACGATCAGCAAAGAGAGCTTCACAAAGTCTGATAGACAAAAAATTTTTTGGAGATCCTTGTTTTCTTCGCAGTTGACTATCCCGTGCAAGTGCTCAATCATATTCCTAGAATTTTGAAAATTTTCATAACTTTATAGTTCATCATCATCATCATCATTCCATGAATTACCAGTCATACTCTTTAATTCTGTTTTCAATGGGCTTTCATTTGGTATAAAATTCCCTTTTATATCTTTTCGTGTTCGAACTGTATCCCCTAGCAAAAAGCTATGCACAACCCTGTACTTAGTGGAATAGAAAGAAAATTTGCCGAGAACGTATCATTCATCAATATCTACATTAACAATATGTCATCATCTTCATGGATATGGTTATAGGAATATTTTGTCAAAAACTACTCATATATTAAAACTCGAAGAAAAAAAAACCAGACATATCATGGACTAAACAGCATAGAAAGGATGATTTTACACGTGCAATATTCACAAATAAATTTGTGTTTCAACTTTTTCGTAACACTGTTCATTGTTGATCAAAACATCCAAATGATGAATTTAAATGTATACCTAGAAATCATCAAAAAGTCCATACATGTGATGCTGTTAGTGTGAAACAGTAGGACAACGATTCGAAGCACACCAACAATATTATCAAAAAATTCATCAACAATAATATGCTAGATTTATTAGAATGATCATCTAATAGTCCAGATGTCAATCCTATACAGAATATTTGGTAGATTGTAAAACACGAAGTTGAAAAAAAGAAAACCCAAAAACATTGATGAACTCGAATTTTTTTTTACGTTGAAGAATTCAAAAATGTTGAAATTAAGATTGCAAAAAAAAATTGTATGATGTCCATGTAAGAAAGATGTTTGTCTCTTATTTCTTCTAAAGATGAACGTATAAAATATTGAAATATGATGTTCGATAGTAATCATCGTAAGCTATTAATCAATATATGTAACAATTTGAAGATGATATATATCGAGAGAAATACTGGTATAACAAGATGTCCAAACGTTTTTTTGCAAACAGCTGTATTATTATGATTTTTAAGAATCCTAGAACCATATGGGAATTGATGATGAATTTCTCTTTTTCAATCCTTGGAGACACTCCATATGTTATTTGAGCAAGAAGCAGTGAAATTATATCACCATCTTTAGATGACACACTGACGGATCCATTTCAGAAATGAAGCGGTTTTTAGAACGTTATTTCATCATGTAAACTCATTTTTGTTTGAAGTCCAAGTAATTTTATCAAGTAACAACGTTAACAGTAACTATAAAAAAGAAGAGTGCGAAAGAAAAACATATCTCATAAGTGATTAATATGCTAAATTTTTAATGCAAGAAGCAGCACTCACAATAAAACAAGCATTTACACAAATACTAACTGGTACCGATTTTTCAAGATGATTAGGATAGCAAAACACAAAGCAAATGTTGTGATAAATTATGATTGAGTCTCTATGGAATGAATGTATTAGTTCGAAGCTTATTAATGGAAAATTTGCTAGTATTTGATTAATCAAAAACATTTTAAAGTGCAATCAAGAAAAAAACTTAGAGAATAAAGACGTGAATATGAATCACTATTGAAACATTAAGTAGTGCCAGAATGGAAAATATTATTTATTACGATAACATGTAAACAAATGATCGACGAGATACTGAGTTGATTGAAGTAAATGATAGATGAAGATGGATAACAAATGCATGAATATTCCCATATGTTAGATTTTCTTATGATTTTCAAAGAAATATAATTTGTAAATCTCTTTCAAGTCATTATATTTTTTTATTCAATATTATTAATAAACCAGTAAAAAATAATTATTTCTAAAAATAAATGGAAAACTCCTATGAGTTTTACGTGATACGTATCTCTGTGATTATCAGAGAGAGAGAGAGAGAAGGCTCAAGTTTCAATGAAGAGTAGATCCAGATGTCTAGCATATATATATTGTAAATGGCAGCCTACTGCACCAAACAAAAAAATAGAAGACTAAAATATTACTTGAGGATATCAAAGCTTATTAGACATCCTCTATATAGTCATTAATTATATAGAAATTAATGTTTTATAAAATAAATATCACGAGAAAACAGATGTATTATTCTAAAGTTCTTTACGAAAGAATATGGTTTTGCTGATTTAATAAATATTTTCTTTAAAACAATTGATACATAACGAGATTATTCATAAAACTATTTTGTTTTTAGTAAAAATTTTGGCCAATCGATTGTTTTTCATATAGTAATATTGTTTTTCTATAGAGACAAATGCTATATAAAAAGTTCTTAAGGGATCAAGGCTGAGAAAACATTTTATTGCTTAATCTATTATCTCATTATCAGTCAATAACATGTCATATTCATGTTCATTTTTTATCATATCGTAATTTTACTATTTCATGTAAACATGTGCATAAAAACTGGTCTATTATCAACATATATATGATAGGTTTAATAATTCTTTTTAATAATAATATTATTTTGAAATTTATAAAATAAAGAAGAAAACATTTCTTCTAGGTATGCATAAGAATTCAATTCTATGATATATGAGAAACTTTGACGTCATTATTAATACGTTCTATTTGAAACTTATAAAATTTCACATTTATCATTAAGAATTATACGAAACTAAAAAGTAATTGTTTTACAAACAGTACAAACAAATCCACTATTTGTTTTTTAATATAAACTTTCGGAATCTTAATATCTATTGATTCCAACTGGTAATCAATAAATTACTGACGTAAAATGAATGTCTTTCTTCATGTTAATATTATGAATGATATTTTTTTTTACAACATCTTTGTTATTTTTTCTCTTCAAAGAATACATAGAGAATTAAAAACGAAAACATATTAGGCAACAATTGATCACAAAATATATTCCTTTTCTTATAACAAAATATTCATAAAAACACTATCTTGGTAATAGAGAGATACATTCTTTTTCTAGATTTCTTTTAGAACCATCTTTAATTGTCATCTTCGATGAATGACTATTATTCAATTTTCTAGTCAAATATTGTTGATCATTAGTATTTGATAATCTAATTTGTTGTGGTATATTATTACTTGGAATACGAATTGTTCTTGTTTGAATAGTTTTTGATCGTCGTCGAATTCGTCCTTGACAACATTGTGGTAAATGTGAAATAATTAATTGAAACCATTCACATAATGTTCGACGATATGGTGGTGATGTTATACCTAAAGAATAAATAATAATAATAATAATAATAATTTCTTTTCTTTGAAAATAAAAATTTACCATAAAAAATAAAATTTAATGAATGATTACAATATTGCATTAGATAAATAATAGCTTTAAAACGTGGATAAGCAACTTCTTCATTTGGATCACGAAATAAAATAGTTGTTACAAATACAACTGGACTTACAAGAATAAAATAAAGTAAATTAAGTGTAAAAAGTAAATAAAATAAACTTTTTGCTTTATTTGGTGTTGCACCACCTGCTTGTTTATGGTGTCCTGGACGACGTGAACGAAATACACGTCGTTGTTGATAATAAACACGATAAACAATTAAAAATGTTCCAATACTCATTACAGTAAATGGAATAATTGCATAAAGACATACATCAACCCATTCCCATACCTAATTAATTAAATAAAGTTTTGATTATTATTTTTTTGTTTTAATAACAAAAACAAAACAAGAGAACTTTACATGATCCCAAAAATATTCATATCGACTTCCTTTTAATGCAGCACATTGAGGAACAGTTAAAGTTGTTGTTGATGAATCAAATCGTAATATATTTGTTGTTGCATTTGGAATCGATGTAGCTAATGACGAATAAAAAAACCGATTTGATATTGACGACGGCGATGATGATGATGATGTTATATCTCGTTTGTCTCTTGGACATAAAAAATTCCATTTCGCATTATTACAAATTGAGCGTAAAAAAAATGCTGATTCTATATTTCTTTTTTGTTGTTGTCTATTATCATCATCAGTGCTATTGTTATTATTATTATTATTATTATTGTTTATTTCGAAATCTGTTAATGTAAATGAAATTTGTGTTGAAAAACTTGAACGTAAAGGTGATAATGTTGTATGTTCATCTGAATTTGTTATTAAATCAATTGGATCTGTATCTTGTAAACGAAGATATGCTAATTCATGACAATTAAGTAAAGCAGTGATAACTAATATGCTTGCAACAATATAGTCAGCTGAACGTGGTGTACAAAATTTTCTTGCAAATTGTATACAATTTGTTGCTATAGCACGATCAACAGATATAAAAGATAATATCCATGATGATGAATGTTGAGACCAATATGTTATAAATGTATGTAAACGACATGTTATTGGATTCAGATTTCTTAATGAAAATGCAATACCATATTCAATTGTAAGAAATAAATCAAGTAAACCAGAATAAAGTACTAATAAATCCATTAAGGAAAGTAATGCAAGATAACGAAATGTTGATGATTTTCGTAATGTACCTTGAGAAAATATAATAAATGAAAGAACATTACCAAATGTACCAACTACCAGTAGAAATATTGAACCATATCGTACTAAATATGGATCAACACCAAATACAGATGCTGATGATACTACTGATACTGGTTGTGGACTGTTGGTCATTTCATCATCTATTCATATAAAACAAAAAGAAAAAAAAAAAAAAAAATTAAAATACTATCTATTCACTGTTGAATTTTATGATGTATATTTTAATTAGGTTTAAACTTCATTTATATGTGATCAATATCATTAGATAGATTAGTTGACTATTCACTTACTCATGTCAAATTGATCGATTGATTTAGTCATGCGGAAACCATCATGGCTCACAAGTGCCGGATCTGATTATGTGCGGGGTATTGAATATAGATATTTAACAGACTAGTTCTATGTCTTTTTTTTTGCCTTATTCCATTTATATCACTCCCTTTCTTTTTCTTCTTTTTTTTTTTTCGTATGCATCAACATGCGTTTCTCTTTTCCTCTCGTCTGCATCTTGAAGCGTAAGCAGTTTTTCAAGCGATAAAAAGAGTCTTATTATCCTTTCATTACGAGACAACAATAAACACACATACATATATAACAGCTGTGCCGAAATTCGTCAATAAAATAAATCATTTTGCTCATTGTAATCATGGTCACAATATTAAATAACAAATGTTCACTTGTTTTTTTCTTATATCTCTAACTATTTCCTTCACATTCGAAGTTTCTTTTTATAAACTATAGAGATATCAAACTATCAATAAACTAATTACTTCTCACCTATTATAAATATACATATAAATAAAAGACAACGGTGTTTATATATATATATATAGATTGAGAACTAATGGTATGAAATCTCGTCGGTTAAGTTGTTCTCTAGCTTGCATCTTTTGTTTTTTTTTTTAATCAATACTACTTCGATCCTCTTAGAAACGTCTTGTTCACGATCAACAAAGAAAAAGAAACATCTAGTCGACTTCTATTTCTAGCTTTTGTGAATAATAATTTTTAAGTTGACATTCGCCTATTGATAGGAGATTGAAATGTCCATGTATATACATGTTAATATGCACACACACACTTACAGACACAATTATTCTTATAAAGCATAGATTTTCATCGGATTAATATAAGCAGAATGAAAATAGATACCGAGTTTCATTTAATTTCCTTTCATTCGATGAGCACATTGTCTGTCAGATTCATATTATAAATGAATAAACAAAAACAAAACTTTGATGTTCTTTATTGGTAAAGCTTTCTCTTTTTTTTCGGTTGACTCTTTTTTGTTTTTAGGGGATAATATTCATCTGCTTAGTTGGTTTTTACTCGCTCATCACTTTTTTTTCTCTTTATTCGGTCGCTTTTCCCTAGTGTCCTTTTTTCTCTTCGCTACGATTCATCTAATATGGTGCCATACATTTATTGATGGTGACGATGGTGATGATGATGATGATGTGTAAATGATTACATAGGCGTAAAGAACCAAATATGCCTTTATAGTTTCCTATTTTTCTAATATTATTTGTAAATTTTTGTTCGATCGAAGAAATTTTAATGGATAACTATAAAATTAACATGAATATAACGATTCGGGTCAATACGATGTGATCGACAACTAACTTGAAAAATATAATATATTTGGTTAAAGACGATTAATTGAGAGAGAGAGAGAGTGTGTGTGTGTGAGAAAAAGAGTCAGACAAAAAACACATTTACTGCTTGTTTTTTTTTCAACTTATTATGACAGCCGATGTTTTACTTCGAACGATTAATCGAATAGAAATAAATGTTTCTAATGAAACAAATATAGAAAACTTATGAAATCGATTTTATTAAGATATAGATAAAGTATAGATATAGATGAACGAATGATCAATTTGTCGATTGAACGCGATCGATCGTCTTCAAAAAGATACTTACATAAATGTAGTAGATTTCATCAGTTTTATCTTTAACTTGACCCTGTCTTCTTCCGGCTGTAAATGTCTTCTAACTACTACTAATGCTATCAAAGAAAAACAACACTCACTTTGCTATTGACGCATCTTGTTCAAAGCCTATACTGCACATTCGATTCTTTTAGCTTTGATCGAATTACATTACACTACAGACACATACATGCACATATAATAAAACACTCTATCATGGTTGCTGTCGAAGACACGGGATGAAAAGAGTACAATAAGAGTTTCTTAAAAAAGAAGAAAAAAAAAGGGAGAGGGAGAAAGAGAGAAAAATAAGAAAGTTTTCTCTTCCTATTAGTAGTGCTATTGCTTCCTTTCAACATCATCATAGTTCTAATAGTGCGACGACTATACAAACGGAAACAATCATCTAGGATAGTAATACTAGTAGTATTAGTATTAAAAGAAGAATAGGAAGATTAATCTAACACAAGCCTGTAGTATTGATGGTACTATAAATAATCAGAAAAAGTCGGGACCATATTTGCTCATTCGTGCGAAACCGAATGAAACCCGAAATTGATCATGTATTCACAAAATTAATACTCGAAAACAGTTGAACTCTAGGAAAGAAAGAAAACAAAAGTATGTTCAGATTATTCATTAAGTTTTTTTTTTAATATTCTGAAGCATGATGACATTGCAAATGATTGATATACGTACTTACTAAGGTCTTTACCTCGACCGTCACTAATTTGATTCGTAAAAAATAGCCGAAAGAATTAGTCTACATATTATCACAGTAGTTCTTACAGTTATAATAGCTACATCATTTATACAAATAAGTAAAACTAATTTAAGATAGATTTCAGCTGAGACCAAAACGGATGACAACATTATTTAATAAGATTCTCTCGATAAATCAACAATATGTATAGATAAAAATATCAATATATAAGAAATATGTTTATCGATCGAGAAGTTTATGAAATGAAAACAATCTGTTGTAATAATTCTACTATATTAAATAAATAAACAATTAAAAATATTGATTGAAAAATTGTTTAATTCTCTGAATATGTCAACATAAATCTCATAAGACTACTGACATTGACCTCAAAATTATATTTCTTTTTTTCCAAATGATAAAATATACTTTAATTACAAAGAATATTATACAATGATGAGTATTATTGTAAAAAAATAGGTGATAATGCTTGAATTCTTATTTTCTAATAAACATGTAATTTAACCTAAGGCAAGATTTTTTTTTCATAATAACTCAATTCATTATGTAGTTTTATGTTTTTTCTTTTTTTCTTACATGTCGGTGCATATCCTTTTGGCTATTGTCCTCTTATTTTGTTTTTCTATAGGGAATCAAGCTCATTTATGAATCTGTCTTTCATTTTGTTGATTGAACCAATTGAAAGCAAGAAAAAAAAAGACTCCTAAAAACTATACTCACTCGTATTCACACATCATCAGGATCTTATTGTCTTTCGTTTTCTTTTCTTTTTGTTCTTTGCTCTCTTAGGAGACTTACGATCTGCATTGGAAATGACTGATTTGTTGAGGCGAGCAGTGTGCTTTATATTACGTATGTAAAAGGAGACAAAAAGAAACAAGAAAAATGACTTTTTTTTTTCTATAGAAATGTCACGAATCATTAATATAACATCAAAGACGAAAGATTTTTCATAATAACAGTAAAATAAAAAATTTACTTCTACTTGTCATACTGATGATAGCATATGGCTATTATTAGCTATTATTACGGTACAAATAATCGTATTAGTCTATAGAAAATAAAGATGATTATTTGAAGAAGTAGAGAATATTCTTGTCAAGGCAAAAAAACACATTGTAATTAATAATATTTTGAAAGAAGAAACATGATAACATCTTTTTTCATTTATTCTAAATATAAAGCATACAAGGTTCTATTTTTTTTTATCGTGTTTTGTTTTTTTCGTTCTTTTGTTTTTCATGTTAATTAACAGTTAGATGATATCGACCTTGAAAGATATTGTTCACGTGTTTTTGATCTTTTACGAATTGTTGAAAAAACAAAACTTTGATGAAGAATATTTTTATCATAATCACTTGATACTCCAACTAATTCCACACCAAAACGTAAGAGTATTTCGAGAATTTCAATCATTGTCATATTTGGTAATTCAATACATCCATAACGTTTACCTTCAAGATTTTGTCCTGAATATTCACTACCTACTGAAGAAGTAGTATGTCTTCGACTAATAGAACTCAATGTTCTTCTTTGTCTTGAACTTTCTGATGCCAATGTTGGACTATTAGATCCACGTGTTGGACTAGCAGGTCCTTGTTTTGGACTAGTTGATCCTTTTGATGAAGATATAGAACTTTGACGAATAGTTGAAATAATTGGTGGTCCTTCATCATCATCATCATCATCAAGTTCATCTTCTTCAAATGGTGTTGAAAAACTTGGTTTACTTGAAATTGATGGAAATGATGGATATGTTTCACTAGGTGAGTCTTCATAAAACAGTATATTTGATGTATAACGTTCAAATATACTACATAAAAGTTGTAATTCACCGAAAATAACTATTTTTGAATTAATTGATAATATCGAATTGGAGGCATCTTCGCGTTTTAAACAAATTGTATCTGTATATTGAGATCGATGAAAAGAACCTGGTTTTTCACCAATCGATACTAATGATCGACGACCAACATTAAGAACTGATTCAAGGTCAACTCTACCTGTGTTGCTAATAGACATTTATTTATCTAAAAAACAAAAAAGAGAAGAAGAACAAAGAAAAAAAAGTTGAAAACATAGATTTTTTTTTTTTGCTGTATTAACTAATATCTATTTATGAAAATGGATAGATTTAATTTTTAGGTCTTTATATATAGGAATGAATTTCAATGAGCTTTTGTATCAATTGTTGGTAATGGACGACCTGTATCATATGAGTCTTTATTACGTAATAAAATAAATTCTTGTAATTTTGTTGTTGATCCAAAATTAGTTGCATTAGCAACAATTGAAAAATAATGTTTATGTAAAATTTCTAATACTTCAATAAAAGACATTGTTGGTAGTTCAACTGTTGTATAGAGTTTTCCTGATAAACGATCATGATTTTTAACTATTTCAGGATCATCATGATGAATTTTAATATGTGATGTATATTTTTGAAATATATCCATTAAAACATGATAATCACCTATTAAAAAAAAAAAAACAATAGATTTAATTTAAAAAGAAAATATTTTTAATACTAAAGAACAAACCATGAAAAATACAGCGAGCATCTTCTTTTAATATATCATTCGATTTTTCAACTTTTAAAATAAGAACATCTGTATAACGATATGCATCTTGAGAAGTTTGAGGTGATGTAACAGATGTACGTCGTCGACGTACCTGAAGAACTGATTCAAGATCAATTCCAGTTGTTGACATAGGCCGTGATTGATTTTGTTCCATTGAAGGCGACTATATAAATAGATAGAAATATTTATATAATGAATTAATTTAAATAAGTTATTATAGTTTCTTAAATATGAAACCTACGAAGGAAATTGTTTTTCCAACTAATTTTTTCTGTTCATCTACAAACTTATTGCAAACTGTAGTAGAACTAACTGAAGAATCTTTACGTGCTATTGGTGTCTCTTCAAACATTTTATTATATTGAATAAGAAGTTAATATGAATTTTTTTTTTTTGTAATTCACTCTCCTGTTATATATTGACCTTTTTATGATCTATTTCTCATAAAGGATAATAAAAAAAAACATGAGAAAAAAAAGGAATAAAATATTGATTATTCACTTTCTTTTTGTATCATATTTTATTTGATGTTAGTGATCTTTTTTTTTAGAGAAGTCAATTTGTAAAATAATTCGATATATAATCCTCAATAACAGTATTGTCTCATCGGTTTGTTTCCTAAGGCACATCGACATACTACTAAGTAGAAATAAAAAACAAGAGATATATTCATGTCTAGTGACTATATAAAATAGACATAGACGATGAATAAGAAAAAAAAGACAAAATATATTGCTACCGCCAAACCAAGCAGAACCAACATTCACTAATGTAGGTACGCATACATACATTATTTTTTATCAAAATACACCGTCGCTAATATTCTTCTTTTTCTTTTTTTGTTCGGTTTTTTTTTTGGTTTATTGTGATAAACAACGTTTCTTTTTTTCCCTCGTTTGCTTAAATATATTGCTTTTAAATCAATTTTTTTAAGTCAACGCTTACGTTTCTTATGAGAAAAGTAGGCCTTCTAGTAAACCCATAGTTCTTATCGAATATAAAATAATCAAGGTTGCACCTGTAGGTTATATTTTAAAACCATTATTTTATTTCAATTTTTGTATGATAATTCAATTGATTGATTATTTTTACCTTTTTTCTTGAAAACATATTGTAAATAATACTGCTTATTATTTGGAATAGATTTGTTTGTTAATGAAACCAAAAAAAAAAAAAAAAAAAAAAAAAAAATAGTTATTTGAGTCACGCTATGTAGTAATCAGACTAACCAAGATGAATAAATGAATGTTATTCTGTGGCTCGTTATATTCTTTTTCTTTATTTATTCATGCTCTAAGGCGAATCACAAGAATACTGGCAGCAAAAATATGTGGTACCTATGTTGATGATGATCGAATGCTTACATTTCTACTATACAAATTAAATGCGTAGTTAGAATACGTGATGAATGTGAGGTGTACACGCGTTATGAAGTGAATGATATGAATAATAAAAATAATGTTTATCATAGAGAAACATAAAAAAAGAAAGATGAATGTCTTTTACTGATGATATTATGAAATGTGAGAAAAACATTTTTTTTTTCAATTTATTAAGTAAAATAAAATAAACAAAGATCAAATGATTTTTCCAAATAAGCAAGAAATGTAAAGATTATTTTTTGATGGTACTTCATTATGTATTCTTAAATGAATATGAAAGAAATATATATATATTCTTTTTCATCGTTTAGATGAGAAAATATAAATCGGTTTTCATTCTCAAGTGAACCTCCCCAGGTGTTCTTCTCTCTTTTCAATGACTTTTTTTTGTTGTCTATAGATACTACACATAGTATTCTTAATGAAAACCTCAACAGGATTTGATTTCCGATTGAGATTTGCGGAAGTTATATGTCTATTTACCATAGACCTGTGTATAACTATAGGCTTCCGGAAAAATAATTTTTTTTTTCAATTTTGTCTTGTAAGTATCTACGTTTGAAGATCTCACATATAGCAGTTTGTATGACGAAAGAATTTCATAATTTGTAAACTTCATATCAGTGTTTTATCCAGAGGGGTGCCCGGAGGGGCCGCACCCCCCCGAAAATCGAGTTTTCCCCCCCCCCCCCAAACGGGGCCTCAGCGTATCAAAAACCCCGGGCCTCCCCCCCCCCCCCCCCCCCCGAAAATAATTTTTCGCGCCCTCCCGAGATTCCAAATCGCCCCTCCGGAGAAAAAATCCTGGATAAAACACTGCTTCATATCTTCAAGCTTTGAACTTTTCAAAAATAGACACTTTTCGACGTGTAGTGAATAATACAAGAATATTTTGAAAAGTTCATATCTTGAAGATACGAAGTCTACAAAACTTTGAAATTCTTCAAACATGTTACTGTAAATGAGACCTTCAAAGTCAAATAATTTCAAGAAAAAATTCAAAAAGACATTTTCTTTTTTGGTTCTGAAAACTTCGAAGTCCTACATGAAGATTCTCTGATAAACCGATGTATTAAAAATTCAATAGCTTCATCAAATTTCAAAAAGAACTCAAATTCTTTTAGAACTTTTAATAGAATACTATGTAATATCACTAGGCAAAAAAATCTTGAAATAAGAAGGAGAGCATCTGAGTAGATTCCCTCATCAGTTAATTTCATTGCTTGCATTATTTGTTTCTTTTGTTAATAAAATTGTACATAAAACCATCATCAACTAATTGTTCTTCTCTTCAACTTCTTTTTTTGATGTCTATAAAGTATCAAGTATGAATATTATTGATTATGAAGATAATTTTGAACATCAAATTTATTATTAATGTAACACTAAACATGTTCTCAATAATATTGATATAATATAAAGAAATAAAAATAAAATGAAATAATTTACCATTTTTTATGGTGATTACACTAGTTTTATAAAACATAAACTGAGAAACTTTATGAGCGATTATTTTATCATTCAAAAAGTACTAAAGTACATAGTTTATCTTCAATAATTAAATTTTGAAGATGATCTGTAATCAAACATACTTTGATTTTGTGATAGTGACAATTCATATTTGGCATAATAAAACATCATTTTACAGATTGATAATGGTAACCAAGTTGTTGGATTGTATTCATTTTTCTTCATATTCATGTATATAGCTAAATATAATTTCTATCGAACGTATTTTCTTATCCAGTACAATAGTTTCAAATATCAAAAGTATACAAATAATAGTGTCTGTAACCACTACGTTTAAACGAATATTTTCTATGGTTGTCAAAATCTCATCGCCGATAATGATAAACATTAAATTGTGATTTTTATGAAATCTTTCACACTATCGTATCATTGACTTATGTGTGACAACATTCATTTTATATTTGACATTTTCAAATGTTGTGTATAGTTATAAAAGAATATCACTTACTCATGTAAAATAAAACTGTTAAAAGTCAGACTAAAATAGATTTTCGTAAAATAATCCATAATAACCAATACATTTATGGTAATTTTTCAGTAATACTCACGAATCAAAAATTAGAAATTCTGACTTCAACAAAACAAACATCTATAAGAACAAAAAGAAATCAAGAGTATGAGATAAATCTATACCTTCATAGATATTGTTGAGTATTAGAATTCTATTCTATTATTAAAATTGTCATTAATTCCTTGATTTCCTTGGATGTTTATTGATCTGTAGATCTATGTGTTACTATTGCAGAGTAGAATTCTATACAATTTCTAATCCTTGGATCGTGAGCATATCTTTCTTTAATTTATTGAAATCGATGCAAATCTCTTGAGTAGAATTAGTATTGATGAAGTAGATGAAAATCACATTTATTTTTGTTTTTAGACTAGAAAATCTGGTCACAATATGGTTATTTAATTGGAGTTTAATTTGATTTATCGTCAAAATTGCATTCATGAATGTGTTTTATTCAGTGCTGAAAGAACAATTTCGATAGTCATTTCACTTTCGATGTAATCTTTTGTCAAATGAAATGTGAATTGTATCTACGTTCTATTGTTTGTTTTGAAAATACATTTAGGAAATTAATCACAATGAAAAAAAAAATTCGATTTTAAACGATTCATATAATGAATAACCAATTCTTATCTTGTTTTATGTATATTAACAGATTAAAAAATATTTTTCAAGATTAATCCATTTCGAATATGATGATTGTGCTATTTCAATTTGAAACAATTCTTAATTTCAATCAATTGTTTATCTTTTGATAAATCATTATAATATGCGCGTATCTATTTTTTTTTCATTATTTTAACAATGTTTAAACATATACACTCAAAAAGACTCATTAATAATAATCATCAACAAATGAGAAAGTGTTGGATTACAAAAAAAAAAAAACGAAATTAGAAAAACAAAATATTTGTTATACAATTCATATAAGACAACGAAAGCAAATATGTAATTTGTTAAGAATATGTTCTTGTCTCATATTTTAAAAGAAATCATAAGAAAACTGCAATATGAAATCTATGAAAATTGAAATTTAAAAAATATGACGATGATATCTTTTGTTTTTGACCGTAAAAGTAAAATTCACTTTCACATTTAACATATATGATGTTCGTTTGAAATCAATTTCAGTCTCCATAAACGTCATTCAAAAATTGACTATTTTTGATGGCATACCGATCTTCATTTAATTTCATATGTGCTAAGAACGAAGAACATCGAAATACAATTGTTAGTCAAACTATTGAAAAGAAGTTAATAGGAAAATAAGAACTATAATGCTGAACTAAACTGATGAGATTAGTAAAGAAAGAATAACTTATATAATATTTCTATAAAAAAAAAACGAAGGACTATTTGTGAACTAATGAGCCATAGTCGATTAGTTTTTGCATCATTGAGAAAGAACGAAGTCTATATTCAAAGATTTGCAAGTTCATTGAGCTTGTCATCAGAAAGTAAGTTGTTGTAATTAATCTGGTACGAAATACAGAATTCATATTTTTGGATGTGATGCTTTTCGAAATAAATATTCATGATATATCGTTTCAAGACAAAAAAAGAAATTTCTAAAATTCAATCAACAAGATACATTATTCAATTTTTAAGAAGACATTCTATTCATTAACAAATAGTCTTGGAAAAATTTGTATTAACCTACTGCGCGAAAGTCTTGGCACAAAATTTTTGTTCAATTTTCTACTCTTTAACCTTCACTAAAGAAAATGGAAAGCAGTTAGTTAGCATCGAAATTTCACGCTTTGTATAAGTATATACTTAGAATTATTTTCTGACTTAAGTAGGAGCAAATAATTGGATGTACGACAAAAAGACGACTGAACAAAAGATAAAGTTATGATGTCTTGACATAAACTTTTGCTCATTTTTTAGACAATAAGATGTCATTGAAAAGTATCAAGAATAGTCAATCTGAGTCAGAATTTTACGCTCTTTCTAAATATATTGTCAGAACTGTTTTCTGACTTAAAAACTATTTAACTGTGAACACATAATTGACAAACTAAACTGCTGTTTTGCGTTAAATAAAATAATTAACTTCACTAGGCGTTATTTTCGTACAGTTTTAAATCTATATTATTGCATAGAGCATTTAGTTTTCTATAAAATCGTGGGTTGCAATAAACCCCAGCTCCAAAAACTCAAAGGCTATAGGGATAATTTAATAAGCCGTTTTCTACATAACACGGTATATTGTCCAAAACCGTTGTTTTGTGAATATTGTTTAATAGATTTTGAGCTATCGTTATGGTATAGAAAAAAACAGAGTAAACTGAACATTTAGTAGAGCAAGCTTCACTCTATAAACTGATATGTAAAATAATTTTTTTATCATTTGTACTGAGGCAGTGTCAATCAAGATACGAAAATCTGGCGATATGAAAAACTGTGTACAGACGCCTCTTTTTGGGCTACCCAATTATTTGCTCCTACTTAATCACTCTTAAGTCAGAAAATAATTCTGAGCATATATTTATACAAAGCATAAAATCCTGATTCTAACTAACTACTTTTCATTTTCTTTAGTGAAGGTTAAAAAGTAGAAAATTGAACAAAGATTTTGTACCAAGGCTTTCGCGCAATAGGTTATTGTAGATTTTGTTTTTTTCCAGATAATTAAAATGAAAGCAGCAGTAGCAAATAAGATTAGTTACTAATTTCTTTGAACAAATTATGTTCTCAATTACAGCTATAAGCAAAAGTGATTAATAAAAAGAAAAGAGAAAATATATATAATTCAACAATCATTTAAAAACACATTAACAACATATTGAAAAGTTATAGTAGACAACTCATAGTAATAACTATTGTCTTCACATTCTTTTCAATTTTGAACATTTGCTTTAAACGAATATTTCAATACAATAATTCTTCCAGTATTACAAGAGAAGACCATTGGTCATTTTAGTATGTAGTAATGATGTGCAGAGTCATTCTACCCGATCCTATATGGATAGGATAAGAGTTAGATTATTTTCTTCAGTCAGAATACAGAGTACGAAGAAAGCTTACCCTGCAAATCTCTAATTTTCAGTATTATCTTTTCTAAAACTTATGTAGATAATGTTATTCGAAGATGATGATGATATGATTTTTTCGAGAAAAAACAATTCGATTTATATTGATTGGCAAAATTTAGTCATAGACATTAATTAATTAATAATTTTTATCGAGTGATATTTTAAAAAAAAAACAATAATATCACTACATATTCAATTCGATCAATGTATATGTCTTGACTTTTCTAGTATTAATTCAAATAATCTATTAAATGATTACATCCATTATTATCAAAAGTATAACTATTGACAACGTGCCTCTATACATGTAATGATTACATGTTGACATTCTCCCATATTCTCTTTTCTTCATAAAAAAAATGAGTGGACTTGGTAATAAATGGAAAATAATTATATTGAATGAGAAATATCATGTGTTTGACATGTCTTTTTTTTTCCTTTATACGTGGGAGAAAAAAATGTTATTAGTAATGAAATAAAATCTTTTCATCTTTATTATTCTTTCGTCTATTGACATCGTATAAAGACGAATTTTTTACATAATAAATGGAATAAACTACGTTCGAAACGCAAAATGTCAAAGTCACAATCATCAACAAATAATGTATTACAAATTTTTTCATTTATTTAAAACAAAAAAAAACAAAACAAAAATCAAGTTTCTCTATATCTTAGGATTTATCAACATCCTTATTACCTTTATCTTCACAAGAAAATGGTGTGACAATAACTCCTAATGATGAAAAATTAAAACTAAAGGGATCATATACTCGTCAAAGTCCTCATACAAATCCTTTGGCACAAGTTGTCGTTTGTAAACGTTTAGCAAAAATGCCAATGCTTTTTCTTGCAGTGAGAAATTACAAAATTGAAATAAATTAATTGACAAAAAAAAAAAAAAATTTTTCCATTTCAACTAGAAACGTCGACAAATGCGTAAAATTGAACTTGAAAATGCAGCTGAACCATATACCGATGATAATGCTGGTTTAATGGCAGCATCATCAATATTACAAGGAACATTTGCATTTGAACGTGAAGCTAAAACATTTGAAGAATATACGCAACAAGTCATTATATATATATATATATTTTTTTTTTTTGAAAGAATTTGATTATTTTTATTAATTCGTTTTATTTTGTTGTTTTTTCTAGTTAGAAGAAGCCTTAACAATATTACGAACTATGAAACGTGAGGAGTATGAAAGTCAAACAGCACTTATAGTTCTACGTTTTCTTGAAAATCTTATTCATCAACCTAAAGAATGGATTTCAGGAGCCAAATTAAAATTATCTGAAATGAAATTTCCAGGTTTAATTTTTTGTTTTTTTTATTAATTTCAATTTTATCCTTTTTTTTTTCTAAATATAGAAACAGCAATGACTTTAATGAATAGTTATAAAGAAAAAGGTTATTTAGTACGACGCATTGTCTTTCTTCATAGTATATTACTGTATAATTCAATGAGTAATTTTACTGATCATGAATTTGATAAAGAAGGACTTATTAGAAAGGTAAATTTAATTAAATATTGAAGGAATTATTCGAAAATTTAGAAATATATAATATTTAAAAAATAATTTTGTTTTATTTAGCAAGCAGCTGATGCTGGTTTTATTGAATTTGCATGTGAAATATTAAATGATTCATCTTATCTTGAATCACTTACAAAATGTTATATTATTGATAGTCCAGAACAAACAACAATGAATATTGATTTTAATAATTATCAGGTTTTATATTCTTTTTTTTTTTGTTTCTATTTTTTTTTTAATAATAATTTTTTTATTATTTTTAATTAGAAAATTTTATATATCTGTGATTCAGCTCTTACAATTCTCTATAATATGGCAAATTTACCTGAACTAAAAATTCATTTTCGAGAATGCAATGCAACAAATGTATGTATTAATATTAAAGAAAAATTTTCTCATCAGAATGAGAATTGTCACTTGAGAGAGTGTAATTCAATTGTGGATAAAATTTAACTATATTTATCAATTTCTATTACTTCGAAAAAAATAGATCTATATTCATAACATTCAAATGTCAAATATACTAATCTATGAGTGATCAAAGGCACATCTTACATTGATTATTTATTTCTGTTTAAAATTATAGCAAATCTCAAATTGTTATTAACTTTTATTGTATCCCTAATTACTGATTTCTTATCTTTGACAAACATAATCTATAATAAATAACATAAAACCATAAAAACCAGTGATTTATTTATATATATAATTGAAAATCATTATCAGAAAAGTAAATATCAGAGATAAAAAGAAAATCGAGAAATGTTATTTCACTGGTGCTAATTTTTTCTCGATTACGGTGAAAGCGACTATTCAATGACGTGCTTTTACAATAACACTTAATCTTAGCACCAACCTTATCAGAACCTTCGTCTATCTTCAGGACAGTGAATTTTTTCGTGTCTGATTTCTTAGCTATTTTCAGAATGATAGGATTCAAAGGAACTAATAATTACATTTATATTAGTTTATATTTGTAGAAATTTGACATGTAGATTTCAAAATTAGTATCAATTTGAGATTAATAACTCCTTATTTTCTTTATAGAGTTAAAGGATTTTTTCTAAGACTTTATTTCTTTTATAAAATACATTGAAAACTATATTTTGTCCAAGTTATTATTCGTCAAATGCTATCTTAATCTGTTAAAATTTAAGGAAAAAACATTTATAAAAATATTATTTTTATTCATTAATAATACTATGAAATTTTTGTTTCAACAAAAAAAGAAAACAAGAATGTGTATCTATTAAAATAATATCTCAGAGAATTCAATAAAATGGAATGACCGTTGTCTGAATTTGTTCTTTGCTATTATCTGGATGAGCACTTCTATGTAAGATCTCTTCGGTTTGAACTAGAGAATTATCTTTATTCCTTGAAGTCTCAGAAAACAAAAAGAAAGTTCTCGTTTAAAATTATTGATAGTTAATAAAAATCAAATCTTCTATGTTCGTCTGAATAAACCTGATACTTGATAAGTCTGCTGACGAAATGATATTATCATATGATAACAATCATTCTATGGAATGTTCAAAAAGTCCATCGGGAAAAAGAATATGAATAATTCTTGAACAATCGAAGTTATACACGTGAACATTCTATCATTTTATTCGATTGTCTTTAGAGTTTTGTTTCGCATAATCTTATTTACACTCGCTGTTTTTAAAATAATCTGATCTTTAATAGATATCTTGCAGATATTGTTTCTCATATGTTACTATTTAAAGAATTTGAGAGATGCTAAGTTCAATGAATATGAAATTCACTAAAAAAGAATCATTCATTTGAATTGACATATTAAGGAAAAATCTGTCTAGAAACTGAATACATTTCATAGTCGAAATGTAAAGATATCTAATTTTGTTGAATAACTTATTGATTAGGAAATGTTTTCAACTGATCAATTGCTTTTAAAGTCGTACTCTATGTATGAGGTAGACTTCAGCGAGATATGAAAAAAACTTCAAAAAGTAAGTTCTCTTAGACCTTCTCTGTCTAGAGTTATAGACATTTGACTAGCATTTTAGTCTCTGACATGATATATACAAACAAATCGAATGATGGAATTTCAATCTGAGATTTTGCCCACAGACAGGTCGGTTTGTCAATAGAATACTCTGAAAATTTCAGCACAAAGGAATATATCCTTCTCGAAATATTAAAGTTCCACAAAAAAAAACAGAAAAAGACTCGTATAGTTACATGAAATATGACTGATTTTTAGGACTGAAGTATTTCGAGAAAGAAACATTCATTCGAATTGAAATTTTCATGGTATTCTACGAACAAATAGACCTGTCTCTAGACATCGTCTCCGATTGAAATCTCATCATTTGATTCGTTAGTATAGACCATGTCAAAGGATAGAATTCTAGTATCTTATGCACAGAGTTCGAATTCAAAAGCGATTGATCAGTTGAAATCGTTCTCTTATGAGTTCTGTCATAATTCTCAATGCTATTGAAAAAAAAAATACTTCCACTGCATCGACTCTTTCTTCTGTCGTTACTATAGTCTGTTCATCCTATGACCAATGTACTTAAGTATCAATTTCATAAAAGTATTTAGAAATCTTTTTTAATACTATCTTTATATCAAAGCCGATTATTAATAAAACTGTTTCGATTATTTGTACAGATAATAGCCGAATATACAAAATTATCATCGGATACAATTCTAATTCAATTTCCTGAAACCGATGTAAATCAAGATTGTATAACTAGTATAAAAGAATTACAAGATGTTATTAGTGCTATTCGTGTAACATCATGTTTATTACTTCCATTAATAATGAATGAAGATGAAGATAATATTTTAGCAGCAAATACATCAGGTAAAATAAATAAATATCTATAATATTAATAATTTAATTTAATTAAAGATGTACTTCCATTATTATCTGAAATGATTCGAAAATATAATGGACATGAACAAAGATTTTATGGATTTTCATTTATTGAATTAGTTGATGGTTTATCTAAATTAATGGTTCGTGGTCGAACACATAAATATATTGATAAAAATCTTGTTAATATTTTATTAAATATTCTTGAAAATACAAATCAAGAAGATAATTTACTTGAATGTGTATCTAATGCAATATTAAATGCATCATTTGATGAAAAAGTTCAAATATTATTAGATACTGATCATGTTATTGATATAATAACATCAGCACGTAATAATTCTCCAAGTCAACTTGTTCAAAAAAATTGTGAAGCAATTCTTTGGACACTTAATAGAATTCCACATCGACGTAAATAAAAAAAAAAATCTTATTAAATTGAATTCATTTTTTTTTTTTTTGTAAATTTTATCAATAGGAGTTTCAACAATAAGTAAAGGATATGGATTAGATGGTCATATTATGATTTCATATAATCGATCAGTAACAGCTATGTGTTTAAAAATTCGAGATCGTTTAAAAGTAAATTATATTTCATATTGATATTTTCATATTAATAAAAATAGGCTTTACACTATAATGTATGGCTTGATGTTGATAATATAAATGGTGGAGTTTTGGAATCTATGGCTAAAGCTGTTGAAAATTCATCGATTATACTTATTTGTATGAATGAACAATACAAACAAAGTTATTATTGTCGACTCGGTTAGTTATATTTTTAAATCTTATAATTTATAAATCTTTATGTCTTCTTCTTTTAGAAGCAGGTAAGAACTGAAATATATTTCTTTTGAAAGATATATATATTTTTTTTGTCTTCTATCTCAAAAGAATATGCAACAGAATTAAGAAAACCATGTATTCCATGTTTAATGCAACCAAGATTTCGACCATATGGATGGGTAATTATTTAAAAATATGAATTTATTATTTTTTTATTTGCTTGTTTCGTTTTTAGCTTGGAATAATTAAAGGAGCTAAAATTCATGTTGATTTTGCTACATTACCGTAGGAAAATTTCTTTCTTTATATATATATATATATAAAATATTATTTCGATGTAGTTTTGAAGAAGCATTCTCTATTTTAATTCGTGAAATTGAAACAATAAAACAAGATGATAGACAAGTAGGTAATAATGAAGATAATATTAAAGATCATCCTCCACATGGTACCAGATATTCTACTATTGATACTATAAATACCATAACTGGTATGTATTCATTAAGGCTATTAATAAAAAATACTTTGATATAACCTTTGGTATTTTTCTTTCCATAAAAAAAGAATCTAAACAAAATAAACCAGTAAAATCAACTTCTCAATCACAACATATTACTACAAATTGGGATACAACTGCAGTACAACAATGGCTTGAACAGATTGGATTATCAGAGTAATTTGATTGAATAAGTTTATCAAAGCAAAAAAAAAAAAACAGATGATGTTTGGTTTTTTTTTTGCTTTAGTTTGAAACGTGCTTTTATGAATATTGATGGAAAATTACTATGGCAGTTATATCAAATGAAACAATTAGCTTCCGATTCATATTATAAATTTCTTGATAAATATATTGATCGTTTACATATAGCACGTATGAGTGATATACTCAAATTTGATCATGAGCTTGACTCTCTTTATCAATAGAACATTATATCCTTGGTTTTCTTTTTTTTCTGTATATATTGCTTGTGCATTTCTTTTTGATAGTTAGTATTAATATTAACAATGTATTTTATACTATTCATATGTATCTGAGAGATATTTATATAAAATAAAATTGTCATGTTTTTTATATTTGAATAAAATTAGATAAACTATTTTAATAAATAAATGATATAATAAATCTGAATTTTGATATATTAATAAAAGAAGGTAAATTCTCAAATGACTTTTATATTAACATTTATTATGATTAAATTATGCATAAAAATTTCAGAAGACTAATCGAATTTTATATATAAATATAATCATATTATGATTTTCTCCAGTCAATCGTTTATATTGATTAAAATTATTATATAAATTTATCAGTTTTTTTTTTGTTTGACTTGTTGATATTTATTATTGATTCTCAAGAAGAATTTTTTAAAGTTCATTAATGTTCAAATTATTCGACATTTGAACAATCAAATTAATTTTCTTAGTCATTTTTAATTATCATTATAAAAATCAGACTCAGTAACCTAATAATATCACAAACGATTAATTAAGTATGTCAATGTAGAGTGTAGGTGTGATTCTTTAATATATAGACAAAAATAGATGTTTTGCTAGAATTACGAATATTTATAGGCCAATAAGCTTATTTACTATTATTACTAAATCTTATGATTATTGACATTTATATTTAATTGATAAAATCATAAGCATATCACAGCGACATCATTCCTACCTAAAAATCATCAACACATAAGTTAGGAACCAATCAAGATTTTGTGTCACATTTTTTTTTTGTGGTCTAAGAGACGAGAAATACTTATCTAGTACTCGCTCGATATTTTGATCAAGAAATAATATTCTGCTTTTTTTTTTTATAAGCAAACGCTAAGATATACGATAGAGAAAAGTAAGGAAATTAGACAACTATTATATCTAATAGATTACAATGTATTTGTCCCTGTGTCTTGATGAATAGGAGGCAACTGATTATCGGTATTGATGAAATATGAAAGTCAGTATATGAAGAATAAGAGTCAATTGGTTAAAATTGAGTTGCTAAGTTAATTAAAAAAGATTGATGTCTTGTTCAATTAATTTTGTAAAGTCATTTGGCTGATGTTAATGTTTCTTTGCTAAATTATTTTAGTTATTTATCTAGAACGGATAGGTTTAGTAGTTGTTGTTTTTTTTCTGTCACTTTTTCTTTGCTACTTGTCTCTCTTTCTCGTTCTGTCGCTCGTTGACATCTTTCATTAGCCAAACAAACAGGAGCTATGGATCTGTGGTGGTACGACTTTTCTTCATTGCCAACGGCTATCTATCATCGATCGTGTGTTTATATGTATGTGTGTAAGAAAGAAAGAAAGAAAAGAGTCATATAAATCTCTTGAGATGAGCATTCTTTCCTCTCTTTTTTTTTTTTCTGTCAATACTTGCACAAATGTTCTATTTTCCCTTATTGTCAATGGTTTCATTCTCAATAAATAATAGTGATGAAGAGTAGCAATAGTTGTTAGGCAATCAATTCTAAAAAGAAATACAATAGTAATTGGCTTATATTCTTCTAGCGAGTAATTTTGGCAAGTCGATATCGTCGATTAAATATTGATTTAACTACGAGCAAACTCGTTTAAAATAATAGAAAGAAAATAAGGATAGAATCGTTGATTAACTAGGGGAAAAAGAAATCTATCTTTGTTTCTTTTCCGTGCACAAAGATCACCTTGACAAAATGAGCCAATCGAACAGTTGATCAGTTGCTGATTTCTCTGAAATAGTACGAAGGACGAAGAAAGCGCGTTTAGAGATAGAAAAAAAATAAAGAACACACATTTACGGTAAGCGACATGAAGTTACCGATCTCTGCACTTCCTTGAACTTGTTTCAGAATATTTATTCATCGTTCATAAATGATAGATCTTTTTAGATTTCAGAAGTTCATGTGGTAATCATTAATTTAAATATTTAAAAACAAATAATCAATGGCCATGTCAAATTTTGTATATAGTTTCTTTTTATTCTCCATTGTACATTCATGTAAATCTTCTTTTTTTTTTTGTATCTTTTTGACATATTTAAATATATATGAGTTTTTTTTGTTAATTAGTTTCAATGCCACCGACAATATTAAAAGAACCTGATTCGGATATAATTTTTGATCCGCGTATTAATCTTGAATTAATATGTTTAGCAAAAGGCGATCCAACTCTAGTTTATACATGGACTAAAAATGGATTATTATATACAATAGATACACAAAATAATAATGTTATTATGGCAAATGATTCTGGTACACTTATTTTTACTCAACCACAAAGTATTGATCAAGGATGGTATCAATGTAATGCAACAAATATTTGGGGTAAACAAAACTAGGAAATTGAAAAGTTTTATTATTTCTTTTTTTTTTTTTTTTTCTAATTTTTAGGTACTGCAGTATCACGTCGAGTTCATGTACGTCTTGCAGAACTTGGTGCATTTCCTATTTATGATCGAGCTCAAATAATTCAAGTAAGACGTGGTGATTCATTAAAAATTCCATGTAAACCACCAATTGGTGTACCTGATCCAGAAATTTATTGGACAGATAATGCAAATGTTGGTGATCAATTTGGTTTTCGTGTTGCAAATCCACGTATACAACAAGATTATGATGGTTTGTTTCATGTTAATTTTTGAAAAAACGTTTTTTGTTTTACAATTATTAATTCTTTTATATAGGAAATCTTTATTTTCTTAATGTAAAAGATGAAGATGAACAAAAACAATTTATATGTAATGCATTTTCACGTAAATTAAATGTTATTCGTCGTGGTACATTAACAAAATTACAAGTTATTCAATCCGATCCAATTGATCGTAAACCAACAAAATTATGGTCATCAGATGCATATAAAGTTTTTTTAAAAGGAAAAAATTTATCATTAAAATGTATATTTGATGGTTTACCAACACCTGATGTTATATGGAGAAAAATAAATGGTCGTATACCTGAAAGACGTTCTAGTATTATTCTAGAGAAACAAGAATTAATTATAAATGATCTTCAATATGAAGATGAAGGTGTATATGAATGTCGAGGACATAATGGTAAAAACAAAAAAACAAAAAATGAATTTATTTTAATTAAAAATTTTTATTGATTTTAATTTAATATTTTAAGAATTAGGTTATGATACATTTAGTATTAATGTTCAAATTGAAGCTGATCCATATTGGATAGAAAAGCCAAAAGATATACATGTAACAGAAGGTGAAACAGTTGATGTTACGTGTCATACAGAAGCTAAGCCAACACCAAAAGTTACTCAATGGTTAATCAATGGCATACCGTTACAAGATATCAGCGTTCCATATAATCCACGTCGAGCTATTATGAAAAATCGACTAGTTATACAAAATATAACAAAATCTGATACAGCTGTTTATCAATGTAATGTTTCTAATATACATGGTTTTATTTTTGCAAATTTTTTTATTAATGTTATTTGTAAGTATTCTTTATGAAAAATTTATTTCATTAGATTATTTATATCTATTAGCGGAAAAACCAAAAATTCAACGTGGACCGGATACACTTTATCGTGTTGTTGAAGGACAAAGTGTCATTTTACCATGTGAAACAAATGGCGTGCCAACACCTAAAGTCTATTGGCATAAACGTAATCGAATTATTACTGGTGTAAGGTATGTAATTAATTGACATTTTTCTATCTTTTGTATTATTCAATCGGTATTATATATTAATATCCGTTATATAAGTTATGTCATCTAGCATTACTATCGGTATGAACAAAAAAAACAAAAAACAAAAAATAACAAACGCTTATATTCTTCTAACAACATTGTTATTTTCTATACTAACAAAAACAAAAAAAAGCTTTAAAATCTTTTATTTATTTATTTTTTATAATTAAATTTAATTCAATTTTTTTGTTTTTTAAATTCATAGATATTCCATATCAAAAGATGGAAGTTTAACAATTCAAGATGTATCATCATTAGATAATGGAATTTATATTTGTAATGCAACAAATAAATTTGGTTCTGATATACGTAATACAACATTAAATATTAAACAAAAAACACGTATTCAAACTCGACCAAATAATCAACAAATACGTCGAGGTTCACAAGCTATATTTCGTTGTACAGCTATTGCTGATAATTCATTAACATATGATATTAATTGGTATAAAGATGGTAAATTATTAACTTATACAGGTCGTTTTATTAAAGATATAACAGATCAAAATACATTAAAAATTGTTGATGTACAATTTGATGATGCTGGTTCATATGTATGTCGTGCAAGTACAGAATTAGATTTTGATGATGCAAGTGCAACATTAATTGTACAAGATCGACCAAATAGACCAAAAATAACAAAAATTATTTGTAATGGATCAAATGATCAACCATTTGCAATTGTTCAATGGCAAGGAACAGGTTAAAAAAAAAAGCAAAAAGATACAGTTTTTATTTTTTTTTCAACAATAAATTTCAAGACAAAGAAAAAAAAAGAAATTCCGTTTATTTAGGTGATAATAATGCACGAATAATCTATTATGAATTACAATATAATACATCATTTCAAACAAAGGATTGGATATCTGTACCTATTGAACAACGAAAAGAATCTTTTAATGAAGTTACATCACCAGAAGGTTCTATTAATTTAGAATCTAAAACTGCAAGTAATAAATGAATAAAATATTCGAACAAAAAAAACAAAAAAAACTAATTTTGTTTTTTGTTAGTTTTTAATACAACAAATATTCCATCAAATCAAAATGATTTACGTGTATCATTATCATGTTGGGCTAATTATACATTTCGTATTATTGCTTATAATCGTGTTGGTGCAAGTGATGCAAGTCCTATTTCAGAATCAATGTGTACAACAAAAACATGTCGACCTAAGACAAATCCTATTGGTGTTAAAGCTTCAACTACACAATCTGTACCATTATTAATCGAATGGGATGTAAGAACAAGTTCATTTGTTAGTCTTTCTCTTTTTAAAATTTTTTTTTTTTATGCAAAAATCATAGAATATGCCTGCAATAAAAAGGGGTTCACCAACATTTTGGTATGAAGTTGGTTGGCGTCAATTTCCTTTAGGCACTGATCCAGGACCATTTTCAATGCAAATTATTTATCCACCACAACATCAATTTCCTATACCAAATTCAATAATGAATATGCGATATCAATATTATGTTAAAGCAGTCAATCAACAACTAGGAGGTAAATATTTATTTTATAGAGATAATTTAAAATTAGAAATTTTATTTTGACATAAAAGCAGTTACTTTTTTTGTAACCAATAATGAAGAAAGGTAATTTTTCGTTGAAAAAATAAATTTTAAATTCTTCTTCAATTTATTGAATTGCTTAATAATTTATTTTGTAATATGATCATAATTCTATTCGAGCTTTATCTTCAAAATATTCTTCTGTACTATGAAAGAACTTTGATTTAAAACAAAAAAAAAAAAACCTAAATTTTATATTGATATTTCAACTAAACATTTGATTTTCAATTAGAAATCAATAGCACCGGTGCCATTGAACCTCCAGTGTACAACATTGCTTTTGCCGGTGATTCAGGTAATTATTAAACAAAAGAAAAAATACAAATTTTCTTTATCTTTTTTTCTACACGGTTGGAAAAAATATTATTCCAGGGGGGTAACGCTATAATTTCAAATAGAAGACATAATAAATTTTATATCAAATGAAAGCTCGTTAAAAATGGGGTTTATTGGTATTAAATAGTGAGGGTTATGCAAACCTTTTAATGTCGAGCTTAATAAATTTTCAGAAATTTTATACTTCTTTTGGGATGGAAAATTAAAGTACTAGTGATTCAAGAATGGAGTAAAATGTTTTTCTTGAATATTTTTACATGGTTCGATAGAGCTCGTCGAGCTCTATAAAACTGTATACATTAAAAAAATTTTAAGACACTTTTTTTGCGATAAAAAATTTAAAAAACTATTTGAAAAATCTTAGAAAACATGAAAAAAATTCATATTTTTCATGTGGAAGAACAACACTTACTTTTTCAATAAAAGTAGCTTTTTTCATTGTTTTTACTCCGTCAGGCGTTTCGAAACATACTCATTAGACGCAGCTTTTCACACTGCATCGAACGAGTATATTTCGAGACGTCTGAGGTAGTAAAAACAACGAAAAAAGCTACTTTTATTGAAAAATTGAGCGTGTTTCTTCAATTTGAAAAAAAAAAGAGTTTTTAAATGTTTTTGAGGTTTCCCGAGTAGTTTTTTGAACTTTTTATCTCAAAAAGATGCCTCAAAATTTTTTTAACATGCACAGTTTTGTAGAGCTCAACGAGGTCTATGAAACCATGTAAAAATATTCAAGAAAAAAAATTGACTTCATTTTTGAATCAGTGGCACCTTGATTTTCCACCCCAAAAAAATATAAAATTTCTGAAAACTTCTTAAGTTTGACATTAGAAAGTTTTTACAAGCCTCACTATTTAGTATCAATAAACCCCATTTTTGACGAGCTTTCATTTGATATAAAATTCATTATGTCTTCTATTTGAAATTATAGCGTTACCCCCCTGGAATAATATTTTTTCCAACCGTGTACATAATAAAAAAAATATCCATCGAAAACATTTCAACAAATGATATCTTCTTGTTTATCTATTAATTAACAAATAAAAAAAAAAAACATCCGATAAACAAATTATCTCGTTACAATTATATTTAATTAATATCTCTATATATTGTTGTAGCACCAACATATGTTCCACGTAATTTTCGTGTATTACAAATGCTTGATAGTACAACAGTACAATTTGCATGGGATCCACCATTATCTTCTGATGAAATTAATATTCGTGGCGTTCTTAAAGCTTATCAGGTTTTAGATCATCTTATCATTGCATATTGTAGATAATATATATATTTATTTTATATCAATAGATTGAAATATTTCGACTTGATGATCCCGTAAAATCTCGTCTTGTGATATCTGATATTTTACCAAATCAAACTTGGACAACAGTTTTTAATGCACCACCTAATGCTGATGTTGGTGCTCATATTCGTATTGAAACAGAACGATATTTTGGACCAACAAGTCCTGTTGTATGTTTTAAATTTCAAAACAAACGAAAATAGTCATCCTATTATTTTTCTTTAGATTCAATTTCCTACACGAGAAGGTCGTCCAGGACCAGTAACTAATTTACGTGGTGTACCTTATACTAGTAATGGAATTTTTCTACTTTGGGATCCACCAGATGAAACAAATGGTGTTATAATTGGTTATCAAATTGATTATAAACCTATTGAAAGGTATCATCTTCAAATGATATAAACGAATGATATATGTGATATTTTTCTTTTTTTTTTTTTTTAAGTATTGCTTCTCAACCCGGTATTGATCAACCTTCAATATTACTTCGTGATGATACTCGTCGAAATTATCTTCTTAGTAGTCTTAATCCAGATACAAAATATCGTGTTCAAGTACGAGCACGAACATCAGTTGGTCCATCAATAAGTCCAGCTATTATTGAGCTAACAACAAATTTAAGTCTTGGTAAATAATAAGAATAAAAAAAAAAAAGCTTAACTTCGAAGAATTATTTATTTCTTTTTTCTATTTTAGCTCCATCAAAACCAACATTTACAGTAACTCATCGAGGACAAACATTTTTTAATATCTCTTTTGATCCAACAATAATGACTGTTCCTGGTAGTCTATATTTTGTACAATATAAAGAAAACGATAAAGGTTTATATTTTTAGTACAAAACAAAAAAAAAAAAATAAAATCAATTTATTTTTTTAAGATGATCAAGCTAATTTTAAAACATCTTATACTGTTTCAAATGATCGTACTATTTTTGTTAATGGACTTGAAGCTGGTAAAATATATACAACAATATTAGTTGCCAGTGATGGTATTCAAGCTGAAACTAAAAGTGATCCTCAAATGGTATCAACACTTAATAAGGGTACATTTTTATATCTTTTTTTTTTTTTTTACTTAAGAAAAATTTCTCTTGAGATTTTTCGAGCTGAATAATAAATATGATAGTATCAGATGTAATATTGAGTGACATAGGAAATCATCATCATTATTGCCTCTTGACTATGACCGATATAGAGATAGTCGATAGAGGAAAAAGCGAAAAAAGACAATTAGAAAGAATAATCAAAGCAAGAAGGATAGAAGCAAAAAATTATATATATATATATATATATATAAGAAACGAGAAGAAAAAATTATATGATAATGCTTCCGTCAAGGGTTATCGCATCAATGCAAGGAAGAGAAAAAAAAAAGCACAAGCTTGTACAATACTCATGCGCTATGCTAGATTTCTCTATATGAGATAAAAGAAGAAGTGGAAAACGATGAGAGAAAGAAAAGAAAGAAAGAAATGCTAACAGACACATAACCATAACTATAGCCAACCATTCGACAACATTGTTATTTGTGATCCAATAAGTGTTAAATAATCAATGGATCGTATTTGCTCAGAGGTTTATACATACATATATATGTTTGATGGATGACAAATGAGTGGTCTGTCATTGCAATATCCAACAAACGGGATCGAAAATGGATCCTTACCGACATCTTTTCATTCTAACAATACATTCAATTTAAATTGTACATCGATTGATTGTCTTGGTAAGTATTCATTTTTGTTTTTGATCTTAAATCATAACAAAAAAAAAAAAAAATTAAAAGATTTATTCAATCTAATCTATAAATAAATCAATCAATCAAACTAAAAATGATAATTACTAATATCATTTTTATATAGAACTATAATACTAATTAATATTGTGTATAATAAAAAGATGATAAATAATTCAATATAAAATATATTATTTTCTTTTCTTTTTTTTTTTTTATTTAGATCGTGCTCCTCGAGTTATTAATTCACCTTGGTTCATTGGTCTTATTATTGCAATAGTTGTACTTATTATAGTCTTTGCTATTGTTTGCGGTATTATGAAACGTAAAGGTGGCAAATATTCAGGTAGATATTTTTGTTTGTGTTTGTTTGATTTAATCGTATCTTAATTTATAATAAATAAATATAAGGATCATATACAGGTACACATTTTCTTTTCCCTTTCATTGCATGAGTTCTATTAGAGATAAATCAAAAATATAAGTGTGCATTTTAATATATATATATATATATTTTTTTTCTTCTTATCTCTCTCTTCTAGCTGGTGTAGATGGCAAATCGACCCTCTATAATTCTGTCTACAGAAGTAAAAAAATCAGAAATCTATTGTTTTCTCAGGAACAGAACGGCTTTTTGTTCTTTTCTTATTCTGTTTGCCCTATTCGTATTCTATCTCGACTGATTATATGCAATAACTGATGAGAAATACGCGCAATGCGCCTCGCATGCTATCTAGATTTGAAGGATGTCGATGCTTGTGTTGTTGTTCTTATCATTGACATTGATAATGATAATGTTTCCTTTTTTTTTTTTTTTTTCTTCTCCTCAGGAAATAAATAGTTATTTAATTAAATGAATAATTATGCTTGTGTTTTTTGTCTTTTATAGTTCAAGATAAAGAAATGTTACATGGTCCGAGTGGATATGGAGATAATGATGGAAAGTTTTCCGAATATTATCGAGCGTATGTTATATGATATATTTGACAAAGAAATTGAACACAAAAATTTTTTTTTTTTTTTTTGTAGACCTAGTGATGTATCAATAAAACAAAGTCATATATCATTACATAATGGTGATGATCGTGATTCAATGGCAGAATTTAATGATGAAAAAGATCGAAGTCGTTTTACAGAAGATGGATCTTTTATTGGACAATATGGACGTGATGATAAACGACATACGAATTTAGTTAAATACGATGAAAATGATGGTTTTGCTAATGAATATCAGAATGATGATCCAGGAAAATATTTATCTCATTTATAGAAAAATATTTCTCTTTTCGTTCTTCTCTTTATAAAATTCATCGTATTTTCATATTTGAAAAAAAAAAAAACAAAGTCGAATATTCTATTCTTTTTTTTTTTTCTTTGAAAATTTTATTGTTACAATTTATAAATCTCGTCTAAGTATTTATATATAGATAAAAAACGAAATATTTAGAATTAGAAAATTTCTTAATTTATTAGGGAATCGAAATTTTTTTCTTTTCTTTTTTTTTTTTTGAAGACGAGTATTTTTTTTTCTCTTTTGTGTATTCTTTTGGTTTACTATTGTTTGTTTGTTTTTTTTTTCTTTTTTTTTTTTGTTATATAAATATTTTGTGCACACATACACGTAAGAAAATTTTTCGTTGTTCTTTAAAGATAAATATTGCCATGAAATTTTGACAGATTTAAATAATGAATCTCGAATAGAATAAACATATATATATATATATGTTTAATAGTTTCTATTCAATTATCTTTCTTATGTTTGAAGACATCTATCAACAATAATAAAGACTTAGAAGGTTGTACTTAATTACAGAGAAACGATACGATTGATAGTAATTGACATGATTGAAAGGTCTTTAGAGAAAAAAAATTCTGTATAATAAAATATATAATGAGATTGATGTTAGTTTGTAGAATTTACAATAATTGTATTCATGTTTGTAGCATCAGATTTCAATCTTCTTATTGGTTTTTTTTTTCTTCGGTGATCAATCTAATATAAACAATAATGTTATTTTAAATATGAATATGATATAGAACTTAGTATGAGAATAGTAAATAAGATGATAGACAAAACTATAGTTAGATTCTTATTATTATTATTGTCAATGCTGCACGAGATGAGAGATTTTGGCATTAATACAATTGAGTTTATTTATTTTGAATGACATCGAAACTGGCAACGAAAAAAATGAAGCATGAATGATCAATGATGATGTTTGCAATATAATAGAATTATAAAACTATCACAAAAAACCATAGTTATCAAAATATATATATATATATATATATATAATAACAAATCTTATTATTGAAGACATTGTAGAATTTTTCTTAATTATCATGAATTCCAATCTGATTTAAATAAAAATTCTGAAAGAGTATACATTTTGTCGAAAGTGAAATAGTAGAAAACTTCGATTCAAGAATGTTATACAGTTAGAAGAAATCTCTTGATGTCCACAATTTTTTTCTCTCATGTTTTATGTAGAGATTAGCTATTCTGAACTCTAATGATTTTTTTTTTCTTATAAAAGCGGACAGTTTGATTAGACAGCTGGTTATGCGAATTCAGAACATCGATGTCACATATCTAGAAAATTGTATAAAGAAAAGATACTTTTATGGATATCTTTTTCACACATCTCTTATCAATTGTTACACGTCTCCTCTTGTATATTCAATTTTCACGATATATCATTCCAGGCAATTGGGAGTAATATATATATAAGGTTTCATCATTCTTTTCATGTACTTACACATTCTCACTAGCTCGTTAAACACTGTGAAATATCTGTATATTTGTTAGAAAAATTAGTGACAAGATATCATCAAAATAATTATAATTCGAATGTATTAATTCATTCTATAGATTTAAGTAACATTTCTTGTTTGTTTGTTTTTTTTTATTTGCAATTCTGTTTTTGATTTTCTTTTTCGTTTAATTCTAATTAGTATTTCATTTCATTGTTTTTGTGTGTAACTAACATAAATGTCTGTCAATCATACAAAAACAACTGTTATCAAGTAAATCTTATATATTTATTTATTCTCATTTTGATCTGTTTGTTTTTCATCAAATAGATGTAAAAAATGTAATGAAATAATATTACCTGAAGAACAATATTTACATGATGGTGAAAATATAATACATATTCATTGTTATACTTGTTCGAATTGTTATCAACCACTTGCTGGTATATTTTATTATCGTTATAAATATTCACGTTATGATAAAAAGAAAAATCTTTATTGTAATTCATGTTATTATCGTTTAGCACCTGTTTGTTTTCAATGTTTAAAAATAATTGATGATATTTCATTAATTTATGGTGAACGTATATTTCATCTAAATTGTTTTTGTTGTAATCATTGTCAAAAAATATTTAAAGGTTCATTAGTTTTTCCATATGAAAATCATATTTATTGTTCAAATTGTTATAAAAATATACAAAATGATTTTCATCCAGCTTTATTAAATGTTTTAACATTACGATGTTCTATATGTAGAAAACAATTTCAACCAGGTGATCTTATTACTAAACATCAAGTATATATATTAACATAAACAATGATATATTAAAAATAATTTTTTTTTTGTTTTTTATTTTTATCTCTAGATTGATTTATCAACAGATAAAATTTTAAATAATATTCATTATATACATAATTCTTGTTTTGTTTGCAATATTTGTCATCAAAATTTATCTAATTCTATTTATTATTCACCAAATAGTCATGATGAAGATATTCAACATCTTATATTTCAATGTCAAAAATGTCATGAATCATCATCAACTATATGTTCTGTAAGTTACTATATATGTATTTTTTCTATTGATGATTTAAATAAGAAAATAATTTTGTAGATATGTTTTAAACCATCAGATGATTTAATGATTATATTTAATAATCGATGGTATCATGATGAATGGTATAAACTTATTTATTTTCTAATTACTATCAATATGTTTATTTCATTTAGTTTTACATGTAAGAATTGTAATTATAAATTGAAGAATCTTACACGCATCATCACTGAATCAGATGGATTACTATGTGAACGTTGCTTGAAATTGATCCGTGAACGACAGCAACAACAACAACAATAATAAATGTCAAAGGCATGAATGATTTTCTTCTATAATTCTCTGAGGTTTTTGCTTTGTTTATTCAGTTGTATATCAATGACGTATGATAATATTATCAGATGTTTTAATATTATGTAATAGTAATAATAATAATAAAATAAAGAATGATTATTGATATAATTTACTATCAATAGTATTGATTGAATTGTATTGTAATAATGTAATATATTTTTATATCACTTTTACTTGTTTTAAATGAAGATTTTTAA